TTTTTTCGCCGAATTCGCCGCGGAAGTTTATTAACAACAAAATTCCTTTCATAACGTTTATGTCTAAAACTTGTGACCAAAAATATATAAATTTTGTTTCAAAAATGTTTATTTTTAATTTATTTAGTGCATTTCATCATGTTGTTTTTGTTGAAAATAAGAACCTGCTTTGATATTTTGTAATTTGCATAAAATGTGGTATCACCTGATTTAGTTGTTGTTATTGCTGTGATTTGTTTTTGTTTTCGTATACTTTATTTAAAAAAAAGCCGGTGTTTTGGTATACTTTTTTCTTTTTATTTCTTGTTACCTTTACTTTTATATTATTCACATTTATTTTTCTAACTTTTGCAAAACACAAATCAACCAACTGCGCAAATAAACTTGGTGCACTAGTTTTGTTTACAATTTATGCTAGTTAAGTCACATATTCGATTAATCACTAAGCCTTTTATCACTCTCATCTCTAATATCATTTACAGACAAAAAGAGGGTGTGTTTATTATGTTTTACATGATAAGTGTTGCCAATATGATTTGTTAGGTATTTTGCTAATTGTTATGCTTCTATAATTAACTTGATTGGAAATTTTATACGCGTGCTATCGAATGTCCAAACATCTTTTAATAATTAATACTATAATTTGTAGAACTTGTTTTGTTCCGTCAATTGTTTATTTTTCTATAGATCAATTCTCAAATTGTCTCAAGTTATTTGATATCACTATTACTCATCTCAATATGTTTGTTAGTGATGTGTCTGATCATCCTAAACGAAGAATAACCGTTAGTTATGGAATATATATATTGCTTTGTTGTAATAATTATTACTTTGTTTTTTTATGGATCAATTACGAATCTAGTCACCAATTGGCACGGGGCAATTCAATCTGTTTATTAATCATCAATGGGTTTTTAATGGTGTTAAGCCATCCTTAACACAAGCTTATCTGGTCGTTTGTATATTTCTATAGACAGTATGGTTTCTTTTTATACATACATATATCAGGGCAGTCTTAAAATTTCTTTTAAAGTCATATTGATATTAGCTTAATTTGAAATTTTTGTGCGGGAACAAATTCTTCCCACAAGAGGCTGTATAATACATCAGATACGAAATACACCTATGCCGCTATTGGACCTGCTCTTTGACTTGGAAAATGTTGGTGGAAAAAACCTTATTTTGTGCTCTATAATGGAAAACTCAGATGATACGGTATTGTAGTCCGATGTTTAGAAACTCAGTTTCCTCCATGTAGTTCCTTAGAATTTTCCAAACACTATTTCTGAGTGATGTAATATCTGGAATACATCGCTACCAAGATATTTTACTCTAATTTCGACAATAATAAAGAAGGTGTTGCCGAGTTCCATTCTATTCTCCACATACACTACATCCGTCTAAATCCGTACATCCAATTTTGTATAATTGTGCCTCTAATCCTGTACGTTCACTCAAAATACATAACATCATCCTAATGTCGGACTTTCATATTCTGAGGAGGCTTCTCGACATGCTCTCGTTTTGCCACCAGATCTTTGGGAGCTACACACGGCTTCATTATACCAAGTGGCCACATAGGATTATGTAGCCCATGTTTTTTGTACATACATCGATTAATGATAGAACTTTGGATTATTTTGGATATTTTGACCTTTTGCATTGGTCATAAAGCTTCAGATGCCTTCTCAGCTTTATTTACTCCGTATAAAATCTCAGAATTAATATGAGTTCCAGGGCATGAAAAACTGGAACTTTTAACATATTGTCCATGGACGGACGTGAATCATGATTTAAACTTTTGCGATCGATATGCAGAGTCCGAAAATGCATTGTTCAATCATTATGCAAAATACTTTTCATCGTAGTTCAAGGCCACGATTATTTTCAATAAGTTTGGCTTCAAAGCTATCATTGAGGAATGTCGCAAATGCACAGTGCGACAAGTTAAAACATTATTTTAAAACTGGTCTAATGTTTGGCTTGGGATCAATTTCTTTTTATATACATTGTACAAATTAATTTTCACGTTTGATTAATCTCTATCCAAGCATATTATGCAGTTAAGATCACATTGGAAAAATAATTATACATATTGAAGATAAACAGATTGATTTGATTGACAGAACGGGAACATGTCAAAAACGCATTTTTGTCCAGCAGATTGATTACACATGTACAACTTAAATATAGAATGTGATATTTTGTACAGATCAGTTAGTAACAAATAAGAAAACTATTTGGTAGAATCATACCGATTATATCACTTTAATTTTTCTTTTCAGGTGACCCCACAACCTTTGGCAATCTACGTGCATCCGATGAAACCATGAAGGCTCTATTGGCGTCCATAGAGAGTGGCAAATACAATGGTTATGCCCATACCCAGGGTCATGAGTCAGCCCGTAAGGCTATTGCCAAATATAGTGCCCATCAAAGTTCCGAGGAAATTCATCCCGATAATGTGATCTTAACCAGTGGTTGTTCGGCAGCTTTGGAATATTGTATACTGGCTTTAGCAGAAACTGGTCAAAATATTTTGATACCCAGACCGGGATTCTGTTTATATCAAACCTTAACCGAAGGTTTAGGTATTGAAGTGCGTTACTATGACCTCTTGCCCGAAAAACAATGGCAAGCTGACTTAAAACAATTGGAATCGTTGATCGATGAAAATACCGCAGCCTTGTTAATCAACAATCCCAGTAACCCCTGTGGCAGTGTGTTTAGCAAAGAACATTTGGAAGATTTATTGGCCATATGTGAGAAATACTATTTGCCCATCATAGCAGATGAGGTAGGACATTTTAGATTATAAGAAAAATAAATAGTTTTCTAATATTTTGTTTAAATTTCAGATTTATGAACACTTTGTTTTCCCCGGATCCAAACATATTGCCGTTAGCAGTTTGTCCAAGAATGTTCCCGTTCTCTCCTGTGGTGGTTTAACTAAACGATTTTTAGTTCCCGGCTGGCGTACCGGTTGGATTATCATCCATGATCGTGAAGATCGCATGGCCGATGGTATTAGAGGTCTCAAAAACATGTGTGGTCGTATTTTAGGTTCGAATACCTTAATCCAAGGTGCCATACCAGATATCTTGGAAAAGACTCCCCAAAGTTATTTCGATGGTGTCATTGATATTCTAAGTGAAAATGCCAAATTAGCCTTCAATATGCTGAAACAGGTGCGCGGCTTAAATCCTGTCATGCCCAATGGTGCCATGTACATGATGGTTGGCATAAATATTGAACAATTTCCCGAATTCAAAGATGATACTCATTTCGTACAGGAGCTGGTGAATGAACAAAGTGTTTTCTGTTTGCCTGGTAGTTGTTTTGAATTTCCCAATTATATGCGCATTGTGCTGACAGTGCCAAGAGAAATGATTGAAGAGGCTTGTTCACGTATGGCTGAGTTTTGCGAGGCTCACTATAAGGTGGACAATTCAATAATTGAAAATAATTTATTAGATGATATTCAGTACTGAGGATTAAAAGTGCTGAATTTCTTTTTTTAAAGAATTTACATTTATTTTTTTTACTGTTTTTTACCAATTGCATTTATATTTTATAGTCATTTTTAGTTTGTAGTGTTTAATATTGTTTATTTAAATAAAAAATATTACACAAATGTTTTACGTTATAGAAATGTGTTTTTGTTTTATAAAGTTAAAGAAAAATCTTTTCAGAATTACGATTAAAGCTTGACACGACAGCCATTGTTTGAACCAGGCTATCATCTGTATGTTAAGGAATAAATTGTTTGCTATTATCGCTGAGTTACTGACATTTTCAAATGGGTCAGTTGGGATTTAACAAGACAAAACACTCCTAAACATCTTCCCATTAGTGTTTAATTTGTATAGAGTTCTAGAGTCATATTGTCAACTGGATAATATTGCCAAATCTTACTTCCATTCCTAACAATATTTAATGATTCAGTGTTGAATCTTTGTCAGAGCGTGGCAAAGTAGACATAAAAGTCACTCGATCATTCCGTATAGGTGAAGCTTGTGGATTATATAATAATCCACTTCCCGTGCTTTATTTCCAATAAATTATTTAGGCCAAGTATAAATGTGTTGGTCCATATTACTTTTGTGGTAGCAGACCACCATCTCTGCCAGATGTCCATTGTTTTAGTGATTCGGAAATGGATATAGAATGTGTTCGATATCTGTAACCAGATTGTGGCAAGGTAGACATAAAGCTGACTTAATCAATCAATATATACAGGCAGGTACTGGATTATACAATAATCCACATCCCGGTGCTTTCTTTCCAATATATTAATTAGGGCAAGGATAAATGTGTTGGTCCATATTTCTTTTGTGGTAGCAGACCAGCTGCCAGCTATTCATTGTTTTTTTATTGAGCTTCCGCCTTCGTAGTGTGTATGGAAGGAGTTTCTTCTGCAAATAGGACCACCGGATGCATTACCGCTATGGCAAACGCTGATTTACCTTGTCAGAAGAGTTCTATAATCACTATAGACACAGAGCGTCGTCTATATCTATTTATCTATCTCCAAGAGTTATTTCCATTAAAACACTTACCGGTCAAAAAATTTATTTCATATAGAGCACTGTTTTCAATCATTCAGAATTCATTCCAAAAATATTATATTGTTTCCACCTTAACACGGGGAAAGATTATTGTAATTAAAAAAAGGTATTCCTTAAGAATATATATTCTAGTATATTCTATACTTTAGCTAGAAATTAAAATTTTGTGTTAATCGAATCCCAAGTCTTCAAAAAGTTAACGTATCACTTCAATTTCTTTAAAGTAAATTTTATTAACAACACTTCTTTAATAATCGTCTTCTTCTTCTTCTGTTGCATTTCTTCTGTTTAAAAACGTCAACAACATTTATTTCATATTTTCTCGTTAACGGTAAATTTAAATGTGTTTAATAATCATAACACTTAAAACAACTCAACACATCTCACTGAAAGCACCAGCTGTGTTTAGGTACGCGTGTATGTGCATTCCAGACAGCTGTTCGCTGTTATCAAATGTAAACAAACCGTGTAGATTAACAAATTTTCGTGCAAATTTAATAAAAATGAAACGTTTTTATAATAATTTAAATACAATTTGTTTAAGAAATTCAGCAGCTATTAAATATCAACAACAAAGGCAGCAACATGATAAACAAAGCACGCAAACTAATCAATTATTTGGAGTTAAATAC